GCATCCTCCGAGGCTTTGCTCCCCGTCTCCCTGGTCTGCTGTCTGCTGGCTCTGTCAGCAGACCAGGGAGACAGGGAGCAGCTTTTCTCACCCTGGAGGAGGCGGGCAGCGGGACCAGGTGTCCCGCCGCTCCAGTCCTCCGGGGCGAGAAATCCCTGTTCGTAACTGCGGATCCAACATAAGTCGGATCCACGTAACTCGGGGACTGCCTGTACTCTTCTAGTCATATGATTCTATGCTTCTTTAATTGCTAGAATGCCACAGTGCTGGCCAGTTGGTATGGACATCTACTGTGTATTCCCCATCACTGATGTATATTTGCCAGATCACAACCCCTTCATTTTTGATAGTTCTACAATTGAACATGATAATTTTAAATTATCGGAATTTACTCAGCTTCATTTTTAATAAATAACCAATTGGTGGTACACAAATATATATTTGTATAAATGACAGACTAAGTAGAAAAAGAACCCTACAATAGTCACCATAAATACTACAGGCAGTCCCCGGGTTACAAGGATCCGAATTACGTCGGATCCCTACTTACAAACGGGGTGAGGCAACCCCGCACTAGCTGCTTCCCCCCAGCAGGCCAGGGAGACGCGAAGCGGCTTTTCTCAGCAGACACCTCAGCTTGAGAATAAAGGACTGAGGGAAGTGAGGTGTGGGAGAATAAAACTGAGCTCTGGAGAAATGTTTGGCTAGAGTTTCCCCTACATTATGTACCAGTTCCGACTTACATACAAATTCAACTTAAGAACAAACCTACAGTCCCTATCTTGTACGTAACCTGGGGACTGCCTGTATAGCGAATACTTCTCATTTATTCATACACAACAAAGAAGGTAGCTTTGGTAGCTAATCTGAGAGTAAGTATTAATTTCTAAATGAATATATGTTCTCCAAATACTTCCCTAAAAATTAAATCAATTCCATTTCTGAGGAATTCACTCTCACCTGTTCTCTTTGTTGCAATAATCTGGGATATTGCTTTCAAATGTTGTAGTAATTCTCGTTTTGGTCTCCTTTTTCATTAAGTTAGGTGTGTGTGTTTTTGGATTATACTTGCATAATATCTAAAATAAAACATTAAAGAGATTAAAGAGTAGTTTTCAAGGCAAGGATTCAGAGCATTACTATGGTTTATACATTTTCAACTGAAAGCAGCAAAGAATTTCCATTGTTTTGATAACAGAATGCAGCTTCCAGACCCAAACACACATAAGAAGCAAGTAAAACAACCTGTAGAATGTCTTCTGGTATCTTCGTAATTTCCGGAGGTGGAGGAGTATTAAGAAGATTTTCATAGTCAGATATTTTTGGAGGAGATGGTCCTCCAAGGTGTTCAACAGACTTGTCAGAACTTATAATAGAAGGAGCACAATCTTCTATGCGTTGTTTATGTTTCACATCAATCGCTGGCAGTGACTCAACCTTGTTTCCCTTTAATGGCTGTATAAAAGATGATAAGTCAAACTTATAGTAACAGGTCTTCAACTAGTTTAGTTTTGTTAGACAAATGAAGTAATTAATAGCAGTCTAAAGTTGATGTTACAGAGGTTGATTCTACAATGATACACTTGTCCACAAAAGCAATGTGGGAAGGGAATACCATTACTGATTCATTTTAAACACTGTATCTATGTAATTTCTCACCTGTATCAGAATAAATATTGCTATTAAAATGATATTTAAGCACTTACATTAATTTCTGGTTTTAGCCAGCCTGTTTCAAAGTCTGGAAGAGTGGGTGTTACTGTACGACTAGAAGTATTTGATTCTTTCGTCTTTGGGGATTTGGGTAAGACGTCTTTTCTGGAAGGAATTTTCAAACCAGGGGTGCAGAACACAGGTATCAAAGGAGAAGCCATGCAATCAACAGCTGAAATAATAATAGAGATGAGTAATAATTTTACATGCTTGAAGAGACCGGGCATCTATGAGTTCAATTTCACAATTCAGTATTAAGAGACACTAGTAACAATTTTTGTGTATTTATACATCTCAAAACAGCATGAAATCATCATACTAAAGGTTGAAACTCTCTAGTCCAGCACTTTCTGGACTAGCAACATCTGTGATATGGCATGATTTTAGTTAACTGGATGTCCACTTATCATAGGCGTGGCCAAGTTTCCTACTGTCCCGTAAAGTAGGTTTACGGGCACCAGCCCTGGCTGTCAGTGATCTGTGTTGTTGTTTAACTCTAAATGTACTCCTAAATGTCTTTTAAGCCCCCAGTAGGGCTGTTGGTAAAGCTGCTAAACAATATTGACCTCCTACAATTAGGCAAATTCTCAGGTTTGGGACTGGTCAGGTTCCTAGGGTGCTGAACTAGAGAGGTAGCTGTAGCTAACCATTTTACCATTATAAAGACATATCTAATAAGATATTTAAGGTTACAAGCTTTAGTCCAGCTATGGAATATAATTACAAATGCTAGGTTCAAATCCATAGCAACATCCACATTCAAGAACCATTTCTTTTGCTTAAAACACATCTACATCATATTTCTGAACAAAGCTTTTACATAAATGTAAGTTAATTTTTTCCAAATTCTAAATACCTGAGTATATAATTTTGCTCTAGATCTTCATAGACCTTCTGAAGTATCTCATTTTTATCTTTTAAGATACTGTACAGCTACTCTTGAACAAGTTCCAAAATCATAGTATCTGGTCAGCTTGTTCTAGTGCAACTTAATTTCTGTTTTTTTAAGCTTTTAAGAAATAATATTAAAATTACTGAAGCAAAAATTACGTTCTGAAGGTGAAAGTCACAAAACAACATTGGTTTCTGTGGATGATTGTGTTGGAGGGTAGAAGAGGAAGCAAATATTTATCTTTAAGTATGGATGCTAGAGTTATACATTGCCTAAACTACCTAGGTTTGTACCCTTTAAAAATTATTATCTGAACCCTTATAATGAAAAAAAAAGTATTGAGCCTGAATGGACAACGCAGAAAGTTTACTTCAGAATTAATGGAAAATTACATCTATTCACTCCAAATAATTAGAATTTACCATTCTTGCTAGGTGTTTTCATTGCTGGTCCAGGAGTACTCATGATTTCCCTGGATTCTGATGATGCCACACACATTTCATTATCATTATCTTCCTTAGGAAAACTAAAGATTGGGATTAAAATACACCAAAGGTGATGATATTAAGAAACCATGACTATGATCCCATGATTAAAGATATACTGTCAAAATATTAAACATTTATATAGCAGTAGCACAAAAAGAGGCCTGGTCAAGTGGGTCACAGTGTGCTAGGCAGTGTATACATGAACACACATTCTTTTCCGCTAAGAAATCTATGGTTCAAATGTTGCAATTCATAGTGTGCAAAAACAGCAAATCTATCGATGCCTTATTAATTGCCCAAGAGATCTGAAACCAAGTTATTTGGGAGGGAGGGGGAGAGGGAGAATTAAAAGTAGTTTCAGGTTGTCTTGTTCCACACTTGGTCTGATTTTAGAATCCATACTTCATTTTATTTTACATCATCTCTCCTTCTTGCCTGAAATCTATACTAAGGATGTAAAATAATCGGCTAATCGAATAGTCGATGCAATTTGCATTGACTAGTCGATAAGGGTGCCTACACCTTTCAAAGGTGAAAGCACTGCAGGGAGCTTGGGGCCAGCAGCTGACTCAAGCAGTCTCCCACTGGCCCCGTGCTCTCTGCAGTGTTTCAAAGCGGAAGCACTGCATGGAGCCTTGTGTCAGATCCCAGACTCCATGTGGCATTTCAAAGCGGCAGACCCTGGGCTCCATGCGGTGCTGCCACTTTGAAGCGCCGCTTGTTCTCCCCACCCGCTTGCAGCCTCTTTCTGAAAGAGTCTGTCTATACAACAGACTAGGAAGACTGGCAATAACAAAAAGGACAGAGGACAGAAAACTAGAGCCACTTTTCTATGGTCAGGGATTCCATAATTATCAATCAGGAATTCTTGATCCTGCCTCTGAAACATCACGTGCTGATATGACTTATCTGGTAGAGGAATTCTCATAACTATACCTGAAGTGGTGTTCCTGATTGTAAGTCCTTTTAAGGTTGTAGCCATGTCCAGCCCATATATATATATATATATATATAAATGTTGCCAAAGTTACTCAGAAAACTAAGGAGAATTTTCCCCTTAAGACTTGAGAAATATTCATCAAGTTGTCTGAGTGATAAGTGGCTAAATAGTGTAATATAACCTAATAGCAGTTCCATGAAGACTGCAACCAGAGTTTTATTAAAAGACTCAGTTTCATATCCCTTACAGCTCTGCACAGGAAAAGTATCTGTAGCTAAAAAAATAGGGAAATACTTGAAATACACTAGAATTATTTTTAAGCAATCAGTCAAACCATTTTAAGTTATAGATGTTTAAAAATGACATTTAATAAATCTACCTTGTATCACTTTGGCTATACAGATCTTACTCTTAATATAAGTTATTCTCATTAAATTAATAAACTAAACTAATTAAATCTTAGTTAAAAGCATGCAAAGTCTTCCTGCATACTTTATGCAATCTAAACATGGCAAGAAAGAGTTCAGAAAAGAGAGTGCAAGAAGATTGTTATTCTGCAGGGCAAATGAAACAAATTAAGATAATTAAATTAGCACAACCCCCCACCCCAACAAAAACAAATACAGGATTACATTGCAGCTAGTAACTGCTTTTAAAAGTGCTAACTTTAAATAGTTTCAAATCAGTTCTGTAATGACTACTGCACAGGACAATATTTATTAATATCTGAAGGGTTGTGAAAGCCAAGGATTCCGCCATGCGGTACACACAAACTAGAAAATTTTAAATCTTTAAAAAGGTACAAAATTTGCAGGAAGACGCAATTTAATTAAGCGGTACCTGGCATAGTAAAGAGGTAAGGCATAAGACTGGCCAATTGGGTCAGATCAAAGGTCTGTTTAGCCCAGCATCCCATGTTCTGACAGAGGCCAATGTCAAATGGTCTACCTCCGTTACCCAGTCCCAGCTTCTGACAAACAGACACTAGGGACACCATCCCTACCCATCTGTGCTAATCGCCATTGATGGACCTATCCTCCATTAATTTATCTAGTCCTTTTTTGAATCCCATTAAAGTCCTGGTCTTCACAAGGGCTACGTCTACATTGGCCCCTTCTCCGGAAGAGGCATGTTAATTTCCAACTTCAGAATAGGGAAATCCACAGGGGATTTAAATATCCCCTGCGGGATTTAAATAAACATGGCCACCGCTTTTTTTCTGGCTTGGGGAAAAGCCGGAAAAAAGCGTCTAGACTGGCGCGATCCTCCGGAATAAAGCCCTTATTTGAAAGTATTTGAAAGTAGGAATAAGAGATCCTCTGGAAAAGGACTTTATTCCGGAGGATCGTGCCATTCTAGACGCTTTTTTCCGGCTTTTCCCCATGTTTATTTAAATCCCGCGGGGGATATTTAAATCCCCCGCGGATTTCCCTATTCTGAAGTTGGAAATTAACATGCCTCTTCCGGAGAAGGGGCCAATGTAGACGTAGCCAAGGAGTTTCACAGGCTTGCTGTGTATTGTATGAAGAAATATGTCCTTTTGTTTGTTTTGAACCTGCTACCTATTAATTCCACTTGGTGACCCCTAGTTCTTGTGTTATGGGAACAGGTAAATAATTTTTCTTTATTTTCTTTCTCCACTCCAGTCACGATTTTATAGCACTCTATTGTATCCTTCCTTAGTCATCTCTGTTTTAAGCTGAAAAGTCCTAATCTTATTAATCTATGCAAATATTACTATAGATACTATGTATATATTAACGGAGAGAGCTGGATATTAAAGGTTTTTTTTTTTTTTAAAAGCAACATTAAGAAAGCTGGAAATCTATGTGAAAGAAAGGATCACCTATAATCAGAAATAAGAAACTAGTACAATTGCAGAGGAATCTACTACTGAATACATTGGATAGTTTGAAGTTAAAAACATCTACTTACTTTTTTCTTGTCTGAACTTTTTTATTAATAAGTGCCATTGTATAGTCGTCATTCAAACACATAGTATGTTCACTGATGCCAAAGTGTTCAAGCTTTGGAGTTAAACAGTCATAATCATCCATCTTTAATGTACATTTTGGTGTTTTGGGAGTTTGTTTGGGAGTTGGAATTCTATTTTTTGAATCTTCTTTATGCATATTTATCTGGGATTGTACATCCATCACATCCCAAGTTCTGGAAAAAGCATACTGTGAAAGACCAAAATCTGAAAGCTGTGGATTAAGTAGGGGATCCTTAGGCACTGCTGTTTTCCCAAAACAAGTAGGAAAGCTCAACATATCTTCCACTTTCTCTTGATCAGAATTAGCTTGGTCAGATACCTTAGATGCATGGTTATCTTCTTTTTCCTCCTCTTCCTCCACTGTTTATAAACAAAGGATACTTCAGAAATTTCAGAATACTAAAGAACTGTTTTATAGACTAAGAAAACAAGATTTATTTTGTAGTTCTAGACTTATTTTCATTTTATTCCTTAATCTCTACAATCAGACCTGTTGGCATAGTCCCCTGCTCTTGTACAGAAGTGCCATGCAGTCAATGGCTATGTTTGTAAAAGTGAAAATCCTGTGAAGGAACTCCTGGTGTACTTATTTCAAGAATATTTTAACTCTTCTACATAATCGCTAACATCTGAAAACTAGAAAAAGGAAATTAATATGTATCTACATATTGAGGGCTATGGAGAAGAGAGAACAGCAGTCATTTTTAAACAAAAAGGTAATGTATTTGAAAAATTAAATAAATATTTTCTTGATATTAGGTGCCGCCAATGGAAGCTACATGAAACCCTATAATGGAAAGGTGGTTAGAAACAGACGTTTTCTGAAATTTGGAGAACATTATTTGGAGAAATAAGAAAGATTATAGAAGAAAGCATAGCAACTCTTGAATGCCTCTGAGAAAAACAACACTGACAAAGAATTAATATAAAATCAGGAAAATGTGCCTAAGTCACTTTTTTTTAACAAAATCCAAGAGGGACCAAGAAGATCCTATCATAAAGGTAACCGAGTGCCCAAATCCTATAATGTTATGTTCAGAAATGAAGATATTCCAAGAAAACAACATTTGCAAATTCTCACAAATTGTAACACCTAAAAGAAAGCCATTCAATTGTTAGTAAGTAGGAGTAGGCTTGCAAGTGGTGACATTTTTAAAGTGCTTTAGTTTTTACACATTTACTGATTTTCTTTAAAGTTTAATAGAATACCTATAAGGGTTTAATATTAATCTTCAAACATTACTGGGATTTTTATATCACTAATGAGCAGATTGGGGAAAGTTAAAACATCACGGAAGACAACCAGCCACCACTAAGCCATTGTCTATGCAAAACAGCTGTACTGGTTTAACAGTGATTTTAAAAATGTAATTGAACTGGCACAAGTCCCTGGGTGGGCAATCATTTTGGTTTAAACCAGCTTTATTTCAGTTTTTTTTTTCAAGATAGTAAAATCAAACACATTCAAACCAACATAAAAGTACTCACAAATTAGGGTGCAAAAGGTTAGCTGGTTAATTGGTAGGGGCTGGAGTAGCTCCCTTGCCAGTCCCACTCCCTGGGAGGCAGTTTCACTGCTAAGTGAAGCCTCCTTCCTGGAAGGAGGGCTGGCAGTAGTCCTGGCTCTGCTCCCAGGGAGGCTTTGCACCTCCCACATTGAGGTGTAGTTAGAGGTGGTTTTTAAACAAATTGATAAACTTAACAGTAACAAGTCACTGGGAGCAGATGGCATTCACCCAAGAGTTATAAAAGAACTCAAATGGGAAATTGCAGAACTATTAACTGTGGTTTGTAACCTATCCTTTACATCAGTTTCTGTACCTAACGACTAGAAAATAGCTAACGTGACACCAATCTTTAAAAAGGGCTCTAGAGGTGATCCTGGCAATTACAGATTGGAAAATCTAACATCAGTATCAGGCAAATTAGTTGAAACTCTAGTAAAGAATAAAATTGTCAGACACATGGATGAACATAATTTGTTGGGGAAAAGTCAACATGGTCTCTGTAAAGGGAAATCATGCCTTATTAGAGTTCTTTGAGGGGATCAACAAACATGTGGACAAGGGGGATCCAGTGGATACAATGTACTTAGATTTCCAAAAGCCTTTGACAAGGTCCCCAACTAAAGGCTCTTAAGTAAAGTAAGTCATCATGGAATAAGGGGAAAGGTCCTTTCATGGATTGATAACTGGTTAAAAGAGAGGAAACAAAGGCTAGGAATAAATGGTAAGTTTTCCGAGTGGAGAAAGGTAACTAGTGGGGTCCTCCAAGGGTCTGTTCTGGGACCCATCCTATTCAACTTATTTATAAATGATCTAGAGAAAGGGGTAAACAGAGAAGGTAGCAAAATTTGCTGATGATACCAAACTGCTCAAGATAGTTAGAACCAAAGGGGACTGTGAAGAGCTTCAAAAAGATCTCACCAAACTAAGTGACTGTGCAACAAAATGGCAAATGAAATTTAATGTTGATAAATGTAAAGTAAATGCACATTTGAAAAAATAATCCCAACTATACATACAATGTGATGGGGACTAATTTAGCTACAACTACTCAAGAGAGATATCTTGGAGTCATTGTGAATAGTTCCCTGAAAACAGCCACTCGGGCTGTGTCTACATTGGCATGATTTTGTGCAAAAGCAGGTGCTTTTGCACAAAAACTTGCTGCCTGTCTACACTGGCGGGGAGCTCTTGCGCAAGAACACTGACATTCTAATGTGTGAAATCAGGGCTTCTTGCACAAGAACTATGATGATCCTGCTCAGGAATAAGCCCTCTTGCGCAACTGTCCTTGCGCAAGAGGCTAGTGTAGACAGGCAACATGAATTTCTTGAGCAAGAAAGCCCGATGGTTAAAATGGCCACTATTGGAGGACAGGATAGCAGGCGCGATGGACCTTTGGTCTGACCCACTATGGCCGTTCTTATGTGTTCTTACTTGAGCTTTATACTGCAGAGCCAGCAGTGCATGTAACTATTGATTTTTAGTGATTAGTGTCACATTTTTACATCCATACTCAACTCATTGGTATGAACTTATATAAGTGAAATCAAGGTAATAGCTCATGTAGACAAAGCCTCCGCTAGGATAACAAATTGGGTTAAGATGACGTGTTAGCATGTTAAAACGTTAAATACCAGTTAGTATTCAATATAGGACACCACAGTTATGTTTAAAAACCAAGTCAGCTGATCTTTATTTAACTCTAGAACCTTTGTCTTTTTATCTATGTGTTTACAGCACCCAGCACAATGGGAATTCAAATCTTTTGGATAGTACTGTAAAACAAAGACTGCTATGGTCCATATTAATGATACCTGAAATGAAAGATAGATTACAAGGTCAGGGTATGTAATTCTATGCATGTTATTGTGATATTTAATTCATCCATGCTACAAGGGTAAAAAAATTCAAGTTGCATATTATTTCAAGGATTTATGAATAAGCCCGCTGTTAGAAGTTTTAATGCAAAGAAATTTGGCAAAGCCTGTATTATATTTTGTAACTAATTCTTAAAATGAACATATTTGGTCTGTTTTTTTAATACAGGGCTCAGAGGGGTAGTTGTGTTAGTCCGTATCCGCAAAAACAAAAAGGAGTCTTGTGGCTCCTTAAAAACTAACAGATTTATGTGGGCATGAACTTTCATGGGCAAAAACTACTTTGTCAGATTCTTATTCTTTAATACGGTGATGCTTACAATTAGGGAATTGTTTAAATCAGAAATCTTTCAAAGGGTCTACAGTATTTTCAAGTAAGTAGTATTACCTGACTTATTTATAACAAGTGGTTTATAACCGTATCTCTGGAACAGTTCTCTTATTTTTTCAAGATCTGTTGTATTTCTTTGCATCAGTACTTTAATGGCCTTCATGAAATCATAAGTTTCTTGTCTTTCAGAGCGATTCTGATCCAGGATAGCGTTAACATCACCCTTTGAAGAAAAATAAGCATAAGTTTTAAAATGCTAATTTACAAATAGCTTTGTTCACAGATCCGTGAGAATAAAGTATGTAATATGTATATTGTATGCTTCATCATGTGGGGGAGTGTATTCAATCTTAAATAAAGATTTCTTTTATTCAAAAGACTCATCACTGAAAATACCTATGTAATAAACAAAAGCAAATTTTTTAAACAGTCTTTAAACATCTTCCTTTCTGAACACACTTGGCTTTGGTTGACATTTTCCTGGGTCATCTGAATTATCATTATTTACTGATATCTTTCAAAAAGGTTTTATACCACCTAATTCAGTGGAGAGGTCTAATCTTGAGTACATGCAGCTTGAATAAAAATAGAAGTTTAAGAAATCTGATGTATAAAATGAAATATGCTTAAAATGAATTTTGAAATTAAGACCACTTATTATGGCCTAAACCTACTAGAACTTATTAAAATAATTTAAACGAATTATGCAGCATCAGTGAGCTCTTCAATTTTAATGAGGGAGTGCTTGCATTTTGAATTATGGGAATCATGGGAAGATAGCTAACTTTTGATGCCAACAGAAACTTTATACATATGCCTCAAAGTCATGTACAGTATTAACACTCCATGATTTTCAGTCTTTGCAATGGAGCTAATTTATTTTTTTCCAAATGTAAGAAACTTTCCATTGTGCAGAAAAGCTTTTCCTTCGATTATTTTTGTTTCAAGTTAGCCAGCATGTGCAGTTTTCCTTAAAACAATAAAGCTTGTTTTTTCTGACCCATGAATAAAAACCATGTAGCAGAACTGATCTACTAATTCTAAAAAACTTGAAGGATTCAGGGCTAAGTAGTCAAAGGTATTCAGTCACCTAAGTGGTAGTTAGCTGCTTAAAAAGAATTTCAAAAGCAGGACTGAAATCAATGGGAATTCAGATGCTTTTGAAAAATCCACTAGGCATCTAACAGTATCTTTAGGTACCTATACATCAGGACTGGGCAAAAGGCTATCAGTGGGCCAGATCCAGCCCTGTCATCTAGCCCGGGGCAGCTCCCGCCCCCAAAGCATTGCCTGGGAGCCGCTGGGGAGGCGCGATCCCTTTCAACGCCTGCCATTTAAAGGGCTTGTGCCTTCCTAGTGGCTGCCAGGTAATGTGTTAGCAGGGCAAGGAGCTGAGAGCCCTTTCAGCTGCTTCTATTTAAAGGGCTCACGGTGCCTTCCGGGTGACTGCTAAGGTGCGAGTTTTTTAAATAGCAGGAGTTGAAAGGACTTGCAGTTCCTGCCCCACCACTACCCCATTGCCCGTGATCTGCAGGGGAGACACGAAACCTAATGAATTTTCATACATTAATTGAATTCCAATCTCCATTTAAATGAAGCTTAAACACGAATCTCGAGTAAAAAAAAAAAATCTAATAAATCAAAATGTTATTCATCATTTTAAATTATAAAAAATAGGAATTTCAATAAATGTATGCAAAGCTGTACAATTGTTTAACTAAACATGTACAGATATAATGAATTCTTTTGATTAGCAAAACCAAAAAGTACAAAATTTAGTGCAAAGGCTACATTTGTTTGTAAAGCAACAGATTTTAAATGTTTATGCCAACCAATGAGAATTAACTTCTCTGTAGGAAAAAAATTAAAAGGCAAAATGCAAAATTAAATTAAAATCAATTATTTAAAACAAAGATATCCTGTTTGCGGAGTTAAATCATGATTCAAACGGTTATAAAATCAATTGACCTAGAGTAGATCTTGTACAATATGTAGGTTTTTGTAAAAAATAGTTTTATTTACAAAATTTAAAATAATAATGGTGCCTATCCAAGGCTCTAGAGCATCATACAATAAGTACAATTACATCTTACAGAATTAAAATGATCAGTTCCACTTAGTGAGAAGATTATCTAGCAGCCATCTTAGGACAACTGGACCAGCCCCTGGCTACAACATGCTGGGCTGATACGGACACCCAGAGCAGCCCCTGTCCAGAACAGCCCCCCCAGGACGAGAGCAGCCCCCTGTTCACAGCATGCAGAGAGCTGCTGCAGCCTAGGGATGTCAGCGTATAGACAACTACATGATTAACCAATAAGCCTGGGTTTATCAGTTAATCCTGTCAACTACATGCACTGCCCCCTACTTGCTGCCTCTGTATTAGAGCTAGAGAAGCCCCCTCTGCCCGCCGCCACAATGAGGTTGGAGTGGCCCCCATGCCATGGGCGTGGGCTGGGAGTTGGCAGCATCATATAAGCAAAAGGGGTGGGCTGCTGGCTCCCAGTCTGCATGGGCTGGGAAATAGGTTATGCCAGATTATGAAAATTTCCAGACGATTGATGTTCATGCATATTTTTTGTTTTGAAGTTGAAAATTAAAATATTTTGCAAAGTACTGAATTTTTATTTCTCATGTAACACAGAGCAATACATACAGGGTCTGGAAGGCACGGAGGGAGGGACCAAGACTGCTTTGGGGGTGGGGGCACAGGGTTTGGGAGGGAGGGTGCAGGAACGTGCTGAAGATGGGGGTGTGGGGTTTGAGGGATGGAAGATGCATAAGAGGAATGGAGGTGCCAGGTCTGGACATGAAGGTGATAGGGATAGGCTGCTTACCAGGCACCCTGCTCCTGGAGGCACACATGGCTCTTCACCCTGCACTATTCCCAGGCACCATCCTTTTTCACTGTGGGAGCAGCAGGGGAAAAGCCTCAGGAGAAGCGTTGTGCTGCTGTTCCCCCATGGCAGGGGAAAAAAAAAAAAAATCACAGGAGATGTGCTGTGCTACCGTTCCCCCATTAGGTGGGTGGGAAGGTGAGCAGTGGCGTGCAGAGCCACTTCTTCCTCCCTCTGCTATGGTCCGAACCGTGGGTGTTCCCAGATTAGGGACACTCAGATTATGGAGGGTCAAGTATATATTAGACAATAAGTTTCTTCCATATTTTCCATTGTATTTTTATATAGTTCACCATAAAACTCAATAGCAAGAGAACATGTTTACTGGGGTATATATTAGTATATCTAATCTGAACTCCATCAGTGTTAAAGTTTACTCTCTATATAAACATTTTAGTTAGACATTTTGGACTGTGGAATACTTCAGCACACTGTCAATTAAAATGTCAATTTAACCACTGGAACAATTTACCAAAGGTTATGGTGGATTCTCCATCATTGCTAATTTTAAAATCAAGATTGGAAGTTTTTCTAAAAGATCTGCACAAGGAATCATTGTCAGGAAGTGGTATAGCCAGTCTTATACAGGAGGTCAAACTAGAGGATCACAAAACTCGCTTCTGATCTTGGAATCTGTGATTTCAGAATCTAAATACAAAATGAGTCAGTAGACAAAATATTTTTATATTTAAAAATCTTTTTATCATTTTAGCCACCATCCGAAAGCCCAAAACTGGGATCTGTTTGCTTACTAAAACTGGACTCCCTCTTGTTATATGCACAAATTGGTTTATTATGAATTCAATTCATCAACTCCATATACAAAGAATTTACTACTAAGTAATTAGCTTGGAAAACAAATAATTAGGATACAAAGAAAAAAAGTAAATTTTGAGCTGTTATCCTTTATGAGTTATAACTAAGATATTTAATATAGTATCTGTAAAGTTATGGAAAATAAAAACATAAATTACTATATAATTTGACAAGCAAGTGATGAGTCAGTCATTACCTTTAGTGTCCTGACTTCACAATGCAAGTCATGTAAGACTCTCATTGGAGATTCATCTTCATGTTCTTCAATATGCACATTAATGGAAAAAGGATATTGGAAGAAAAACAGAGGTCAATATCTTTTCATTAAGTTAGAAATAATTGAGATTATCATTATATATATACACATAATAGAGTTATGATGAAAACCAAAGCAAACCAAAATAAAGAGTCAAGTGTAGTATTATAAAACAAATGTCCCACATATCACTAGCCTGCAGTGTGACAATTGCACTGCATAGAATGCAAAGGCATGGGAGACCAGAAAAACTGATGAGGATCAATTTGGTTCATTCCATTACTGCTCCAGTGAATGCTGCCACAATATTCTATTTATAGAAATAGTATTACCATTGGTATAATCCACTTCTATAAGAATGTTCCCTTAAAACATGGAATACCTGTAAGGATGTTAAGGAGCATGCATTTTGCTAATTGTGTAGTTGATACAATTTGTATTGACTACACAATTAGTCAACAAAGGGAAGTGCTCTGCAGAGCCACACCAGGGGTAGCTCCCAGAGCCAGCATGAGCTGGGACTGAGCAGTGCTGGCTCCGGGACTACTACAGCTCTGCCTTTTAAATGTAGTAAGAGACAGATGTCTTTTACTACACTTAAAAGGCAGAGCTGCAGTGGGGTAGGTCCAGGACACAGCGTAAGCTGGGACTGAGCAGTCCCGGCTCACACCAGGTCTGGGATGCTGCAGCTCTTCATTTTAAATGTCGTAAGAGCTGCCTGGCTCTTACTACATTTAAAATGCAGAGCCACAGCAGTCTCAGACCAACGTGAGCTGGCACTACTCGGTCCCAGCTCATACTGGGTCCAGTAGCCCCTGTCCGCAGCCAGCCCCCACTGCTGCCAACAGAGGCTGCTGCCAGGGGAGCCTCAGCCTGCGGCTAGCCCAGGCCACCATGGACAGGGGATGGTGCTTTCAGTCAGATGCCAAAAGATGTATACAGAAGTAAAAAACAGACTTTGTCCTCAACAAGAGAAATTGAGGTTAATGTGAATAGATGAAGCAAGAGGGAACATTTCCTATGTGACGTGACAAGACACTGCAATGTACAGTCCAGAAAGTATGAGTTGATAAATCAAATTAAAGCCTTGAATCAAATATGCAGAAACTATAAAGCAAGCAGGTAAACCAGATAGACTGGATCAATAAGGACTGTACAAGCAGCAGCACCTTTACAATGAAACAGAAAACTCAGGTAAGCTTATTGGCTGTGAGGATCCGCAGTAACAGAACAAGGCACTGAACTGTCAAAGATTAAATGGCAAAAACATTTGTTAATACAGAGTTAAGTTTGCTCAGTGGTATCTTCTAACCCTCCAAATGTCACGTTCAGCAAAACTTAAAACTTGTGAAAAAGAAGAAATACAAAGTTGAGATACTTGTCCACACAATTTTAACTCTGCCCATTGTGAATTACCCATATGCTCCCCAGTTGAATTATTTGTATTAGATGTAGCTCTACTGAATGGTGAATACATTAGAGTCATTTAGAAGAGGTGTGTTTGTGATATGAGACGAGCTAGGAGGCTGCAGCCTGTAGGGTTTTGAGAGTCCCTCTCCTTGACTGGTGAATGTATGATCAAAGAGATGCAAGCATACCTTACAAAATATATAGTGTCTTTCATTTCAGCACTGCACTGTGTAGGTTAAACTGGCCTGCTACACATTAATGTGATTGCCCATCTCAAGCATGAATAAACTGGGGAGGATTGAGTGAAAGGTTAACCATCTTTCCTCATAAAAAGCTGATTATAGAAACAGAACTAAAGTACATTCTGGTAAAAATGGCTACTCAGCAGAGAGCACTGCAGAGCTGGCATGGTATATGAAGGCTCCTGGTGAAAGCAAGTCTGGGGAAACCAGGACCCTGAAAAGTTTGATGCTGGCAGCAAGAAAACACTTCAAAGTTTGTAACTGAAATATGATAATGATGTTTCAAGTATCAAAGATCATGAGGGAGATGGAAAACTTGACTTGAAATTCTGGGCACCATTGAGAGAAGACTGACAGGTGTAAAGAAGAAGTAGCATCTCTTGCTTGAAGCTCATCTAATTTATTCAGGTTATAGTGATGACAAACATTCGGAGTAGTGCTCATTAGGGCAGATTCTAGGCAACTCATCAGTTGGGAATATATAAACCAGTGCATCATATATGCCTGACTCCAAACCAGATTCCTAAACATGTCAATCATACAGTGCTATGTTCTGACAAAGGAACACAGTGATGACAATAAAGATGAGTTCTTAAATTGCCTCCAAAGAGGATTGGCAGAATACCAAAACATGACTTACTCCATGGGATGGGTGACTTTAATGCTACAGTAGGATGTGATGGTGAGGAATAGAAAGAGAAATGATGAGTATGAGTTGGGAGTTATCAATCAAAATGGTGAGGCTCTTAAAACTAAATTCAGTGTCCAAACTAGTTCTTACAAGCACCCAGTTTCCTTACAAAGACATACACAAAAAGACATGGAATTCACCATATGGAAAAATGTTAAACTAAATCAATCAATCACAGCTGCACTAATTCAAAAGTCAGGTTTATCTATCCAAGCCTCAAGGGCACATTGAACAGCAGATGTCAGCAGCCAGCAAAATATTTGCATTTCTAAACTGAAATTCAAATGGAAAATGATCTACATTAAACAGAAGGCAGTAAACCAACAAGAAACAAAAGATTACAATTGAGGTAGGCCAAGAAAACAAACGGGCAGAACATGTCAAAGACATTCTCAACAGACTAAGCTGCATTTCAATGCCAGATTTTGATGAAATGCACAAACTGAATCAAGTTGATTCTAACATCAGCCCAAAAGAGATGTCAAAAATACAGGTTGCAGTTCAGAAACTGAATAAAGCATTGAGGGATGATCAAATTGTAGTATCAAGTTTTTACATTTCTGCTATCACCATAAAACAGACAATGCTCAAAAAAGATCAGGAAAGAGAAACCCTCTAACAGCCAGTGAAAAGATGGAATCATTGTCAGAATATCAAAGGTAATCTTACTGACTCCAAGTACAGGAAAGAAGTTATATAACTTAGTTTTAGAGGAAAGCCTTTTGCTGGGTGATACCACCCCAGAAGAAAGGAAATGTGTGCAAAGTTTAGAGAAGCATTCAAGCTAAGGATGTAATAGTGTAGTCGATTAACTGATAAGTAAAAGCTTATAGGTTAATGCTATAGACTACATGCATTTCCCTCCGCCCTCCCCACCAGTAAATTTTTCAGCAGGCTGGCTAGCAGCCTGGATCAGTCCTGGCTTACAATGGGTCCAGGACCAAGGTTCCCTCCAAGCTTCGGGGCAGCACAGCTTCACAGGTGATTCATCAGCCCTGCCCAGTCAGAGGCTCAAGGCCTCCCCAGACAGGGGCTGCTGCCACCTTGCACTGCTGCCTCGTTATCAGAGGCAGCAGCACAGGGCGACAGGCAGCCGGTCTGCAAGGGGAGCTGTTTTTTAAACTGGATCCCCTTGTAGTCTAGCTCCCACTTGGCACCCTGCGCTACTGCTTCTTTATCAGAGGCAGCAGCGTGGAGTGGCAGGAGGCTCCTTGGGAGTAAGGCCGGAGTGCACTGGCTGCTGACCCAGCCCCAAGGACGATAGAAAAGTCGACTAACCAATAAGAATTCATGAGGTTACTCGATTATTCAATTAACCAATATTTAACATCCCTAATTGAAGTCCAAGATTAGGAATAGAAAGTGTAACCGTGTACCTGATTAACTGATGAGCCTAAGCTCATTGGTTAACATGCACCCCCGCATGGTTGCCTCTGTGTCAAAAGCAACAGCACGGGTGGGGGGAGGGGGAGAAGGTGGAAGAGGGGAGAGGCAGGCGGCTCAGTGGGATATTTGAACAGCCTGTACAGATACACCGTGGAATATTCTTCAGTCTTACAGAATCCCAGTTCAAGTTGTCACATAGACCATGTACAGAGGAGCAAATTGCTCTGTAAGGATAAACAACCACATAGGGCAGATAAAATCTGCCATAAAATAGGGCTGTGTTTTACCTCCACTGTTTGGTATTGCCATAGACTGAATAATGAAGAAGGGTATCAACAATACAAACATTGGTATAACATGGGAAAAGCGAGAAGACCTGCACTTTGCTAATATTATTCTACTGATCAATACTCTTGAAAAGTTACAAAGACAGACTATCGGATAAAATCAGCAGACCAACCATGGCTCAGGATTAGTATGCTAAAAACAAACATCCTAGAAATTCAGACATCTAGCAGTAAAAGCACACTAGAAGACAAAAACAAAGAAAGAAACACTTCAGCTACGTAGGCTTCTCAACCTTTTTTTTAAAAAAAAAAATAAAATACCCCCTTTTCACACAAAAAAGTATAAATACCCCCTTTAAAAAAATTATAAGTACCCCCAGTACCTACAGTTTTCAGACAATTTTTTTTTCTATCATTGCAACACATTTGTTTAAACAACTTAATCGTAGCTGGGCGTGCAATGAACTGTTTGGGTGTAACAAGTACAAAAATAATAAAGCACTGTAAAACTTAAAACAAAAATTGAGTTTTCTCCAAATTTCAGTTGTGTTGACATGCCCCCCAGACTTCTCTCAAGTATCCCTAAGGGTATTTGTACCACTGGTTGAGAAACACTAATCTAGGCAACACAATATTGGCCAACAGAGACCTTAAGGGAGAAGTGAGATCAAGGATAGGATTTACTACACTTAATGTATGATAATCAAAGAAATAGTCCTGGCAGAACTTGTTTATATAATTTCAGCAGAAAATTGTCTATTTAAATTTTCAGCTGTGAGAAATTATATGGGGTATCAGATAATTATTCAGTGACCAGAGATGCCACCTTCAGTATCAAATTGCTGCCTAAAGGCATCCCTGATCCTTATGGCCTCACGTTGTGTTCCTCTAATAGTGATAGAAATGTAGCCATGTTAGTCTGGTGGAGCTGAAACAAAATACAGGACTATGTAGCACTTCAAAGACTAACAAGATGGTTTATTGCAGTGGTCCCCAACCGTTTGGGGTTGCCGGGCGCCAGGGGGCGTGGCTGTTCGCCCACCGGGCACCAGAGGGCGGGGACACTTGCGTGCCCTGGGTCAGGGCCCCCGCATAGGCGCGTGCCCGGGGGCGGGGCCCCCTCCAAGTGCCACGTGCCTGGGGCCGGTGCCCCTCCCAAGTGCCACGTGCCCGGGGCCGGCACCCCCCCCAAGTGCCACGTGCCCGGGGCCGGCGCCCCCTCCCAAGTGCCGGCGGCCAATCTGTGGTGCTCCCAGGGCTGGCGATCGCCCTTCACGGGAGTGG